CTCAAGAGAAAAATAAAATAAAAAAAGAATAAAAGTACGCCGATGTAATGTCCCATCGAGGATTTAATTGGAAAATACCTGCATCTGGATGTGCATTTACGTGTATGTGTGCATATTGCGAATTCTGTTGCACGCTAATTAACCTGTGGACTGTCTATGGAAGTAATAACGTCGAAAAGCGTTCTTTTTCTTTTTTCAATTTTTTTATTTTTCACTCTGTGTAGCTAATTGGTTTGTTTCAAATGAAAGCAAAAAAAAAATGATTGAATACTCCTCTCTCGCTGTATTTCTCTCTCTCTCTGTCTATCTATCTATCTATCTATCTATCTATCTATCTATCTATCTATTTATCTATCTATCTATCTATCTATATCATTCTCTCAAACTTTCGCTTATGCAGAAATTTGTGAATCGTAGAAATTTCTCAAGCTTCTTTTATCTCTGCTTCACAAAAAAGAAACGTAACATAACCTCGAAAAAGGGTAGGTGAAAAAATATTCGTGCCTTCCTGCAACCAAGTACTGTTTAACTTCTCTGCAACGTAACAATTTTCTTGAAAAAAAAAAACGAAAAAAAAATTGAAACGGAGGGAAAAAGTTAAAATGGCTTTTAAAAATGGCGTCAACGTCGAGAATCGAGCTAACCTCAAAGGCTAACTTGCTATGATCGCTCATTATGGAACATGAAGCGCCGCATAGTCCGCAACATAGACGCCCCTGGCTGAACCTGAGGGTGAAAAGTCTCAGCTTGGATTCACCGGAAGGAACATACTATACTGGTAGCCAAAGGGAGTCTGCACCACCTCGACATTCTGACAGTGGAAGTATCAACAGATTGTGTATGTAATCTGACATAAAAATGTGTGAAATTCGTTAATACGTTAGTTCATAACCTATAAAATTTGATTGCAGCGCCATGCAGCCCAGGACAAGGTCACAGTGTCCATAAGCACATCAGAGGAGCTATTAGGATGTCCAGTATGGATTTACCAGACGAGAATGAGAAGTCCTATTCGTCAGCAAGCACCTCGCCTTGCCCCTCACCGCATCCAAATAATCAGAATAATATGAATCCATCTGGAAAACGTGTTCTACCACCTAACAATCTTTATGTGGTGCTGTACAACTTCGAGGCGCGACACCGGGATGAGCTGGACTTGAAGTAATCATTGAGGAATTGATTTTGATAGTTCTAAACTTGCTCTGATGGGAAAGTAAGAGGAAAGAGTTCTGAAGATCTTTTGGAAATCAGAATAAAATTACTTTTGATAGTTCAGGACTTACAACAGGACTACCCCCTAACAGGACATTGTTAGTCTAATTGAGGAACAGCAAAGTAGGCCTGAGGATCTTTTAAAAATTGTGGAAAAATTATTTTTGATAGCTCGAAATTTGGTGTATTAAGAAAATGGAGAGAAACAGTTTTGAGTGTTCTCTAAAAACTGAGCAAAAATTATTTCTATTAGTTCAGAACCTGGTTTGATGAAGAAAATAGGGGGAAAGTGTTCTGAGGGTCTTTTGAAAATCAGAAGTAAATTATTTTTGATAGTTCAGGACCTAGTCCTAAGTAAGGAAGAGGAAAATAGATCTGAGGATCTTTTGGAAAAAAAAAAAATTATTTTTGATAATCTGACAGTAATCGACAAGTCAGAGAAGGACTGGTGGAAAGGCAAGTGTTTGGGTGGCAGAGTAGGCTATTTTCCCAGTGCATACGTGATGCGAGTGGAGTCTGGACAAAAGACTCTTCAGGTGAAACGCAATCTACAGCTGACTGACCAGATCACCCTCTTACGTGACCAGGTATTACCAATTTTTTCACTCATTGTTAATGACACATCAATAGAAGTATAAATAAAGTCAAGCTAAACACTTCACTTCTAACTTCCTATTACCGCAACTATCTTACATATATAACATCTCTAAATTCTTTCCTCTCTAGATTGTGATACAAGTAGGCGAAGAAGTGGACGGCGTCGCGATGGTACGCTGCGCCGCGGACGTCAGATCAACAGACCACACCGGCAAGGAGGGCGAAGTTCTCTATAAAGAAACCTTGTGCCCGCTGAAGTACCTCCAGGAGGTGTGACAGCAACTTCGCCAGCTAGGCGAGCGTCCGAGTCGCGCGAGTCTCCGCGAGCGATTTTCCGCTTCAGCGCGTCGCAACGCGGTCGAGAAGTACTACGATTGTCTCCAATGCGCTGAACAATGTCGTCACGTCACCACTCTTACCAACAGCGCTACCAACAACAACTCTAGTCTCGCCAGTAACAACAACAGCTTCAAACAGGCTAGAAACGCGAAGAGCAACTATCGAGTGATGAATTCTATCAATTCCTCGTCACTGAAGGAAAACGCAAAGATTCTGACACGTTTGGACGAGACCAGAGTCCTGAGAAATCCAAAAACAGCCAATCTAACCAGGACCATAAAGAGTCAGCCGTTGCCTCTGACTCCAGCGAAGAAAAGATCCTCTTTAGCCAGGCCAGTTCGCGTTCACGACTCGTCCTCACAATCTAGAAAACTGGTGCCTGTGAATCAGGCGTTTCAGAACCTGCAGAGGACCAACGAGCCCACATATTACGAAGAGGATGAGCATGAGGGGACTGGCTGGGCAATCAGGCTCAGGCTTGAGCAGATGCTTGAGCTAAACTTGCCTATTAAGCTGACGAAGCAGCAGCAGGCCAGCAAGCACACGTGTAACGACACGGAGAGGCTGCTGCGCGTGCTCAGCGTGAACAATGTGGACCAAAACACTAGGTACAACGTCACACGATGTTTCGTCATGTAGAGACTCGCGTGGATTAGTACGGAGAGGGGAGGTTGAAGGGACTGATGCTCGTTGGAGGTGGGCTGAGCAACTTCTTTTTTAAACTCCTCGAAATGAGGTTTTCATTGAGATTGAATTGATTAATGTATAAAAGGTAGACTGTTAATTGGATTGGAATAGGACAAAGGGTAACAATTGGTTTGTCAAAAATGTTTTGCCACAGATTTATAGACCTTTGAAAATTGTAAAACTTTTGTGTAAAACATTTCTTGATATTTTTTTATAATTTTAGAGTTATGTACATATGAATAAAAGAGGGCGGTGTTTCTATTGAAATTGGAAAATGGAGATAGGTAAATGGGTTTCTAGGGATATTTTGGTTTATGTAGGAAGTGATTGGTGTCATGGATCCTCAACTTTCTACATAATTAAGGTGTCACCTCGTGCCATCTAGGGGACTATTTTCAAAATTATTTTCATAACGCAACATGGCTAATCTCATAGAGGTTAGCAGCCCTGCAAGAAGATCAAATGGATCTTCAATGACCAAGCAAGACATAATGTACACGAAGAAAGTAATTATATGGGAATTTTTTAGATAATTCGGAGCCCTCTTCTCGAGCACCAGTTCCAGATCGATTTTCAAATCGATTTCCAATATGGAGGCCGCACAAACGCGTGTCCAACCACGTGACATGTGTTTCGCTAATGATAAGAAAGTTCTTCATTCAGCGTGACTCGAGTCTCTTAGTACTATCGATCGCTTGTTGAGTTTGATAAAAAAAAAATGAGAAAAAAACGAAATCACCTCGCACGGGGTGATCGATATTTATATCATTTTTAAGGTAGACAGTTCGCGTAAATAATCGAAAGTGCACGAAGATACTCGAAGAGGAGCAACCATGATCAATCCTCTTTTTAGCATACCCATTTGTTTATGCATTTATTATATACGTTTTTTCTTTGTTATCGTTGTTTCTTCAGTCATTTTTGCACTAACTTTTTGTAATACAAAAGGTTGTTCGTTGTTTCGTGTCTACCGTGGAATTTATTTTTCAACGTTGAACGTTTCATTTTTATCGAAATTTCGTATCTATACTTTATGCAGTAGTCAATAAATAAAATAAGCGAGAAAGAAAATTAATCGTTGACCAGTGGAAACGTAACAGGTGCTTGGTTGATCGATTGAATTAAAGTGTGAAAAGTTTTAGAATCAATAGAGGGTCCTCTTTCGTTAGTTGGTCGTGAAAAAAAAAATTTCCAACCTTCGCCCTCATGACCATTAAAGAAAAAAAAAAAACATTCACAAGAGAATTTTTTTTTTTTTGCTATCTGAATTCGATTTTCCTCGCAAAACTTTTTTTCCGAACATCTCACTGCACCATTGAACCGAATTAATAATCGAAAATTCTAACATCTACACGCTTGTATCTTACAACCAATTCCGTCCCCAAAAGGAACTTTCAACATATGAAACTCATCGTTTAATTTTCATTCTAAATTTCATTCTAACAATTTTGTTACAATTGCAAACCGAAAAAAAAAAATGTGCAATGCTGAGTGATCATATTTATCGATGTTCGAGGAGATAATTATCTAGAAAAAATGTTATCAACGATTGTCACTGTATTTAAGAATGTATTGAATATTTTATCTGAAGAGTTGACTAATTGCACAATTTGCATTTACTTGATGTGCATTTACGTGTACTGGGCGTATCTGAAGGTATGTAACACTTAAAATTTAAGATGACATCAGGAATAAAAAATCACAGCCAAAATTGAAAAACGAAAAAAGAAAAACAAGTGGCTCCATCTTTTCAAACTTGTTATGTACCTCCATAAACGTTGTACACATGCATCGTTGAGCCTGAGAAAAATATATAAACGTTAAAGATTTTCATTCCAGCGAAGAAATTCCAGGACAAATATTAAAAAGAAAGAATCGAAAATTAATTTCAGATAGAAAACGAAACAGAAGAAAGAGGTTAAAAAATTTGTTAGACTACTGTCGATTAGTTCAGTAAAGAAGAATAAAAAACTAGAGACTGACGTAACGAGTCCTCTTGTTACTATTTCTCAGTTTCTTAACGAAACACAAATACACACACACACACACACACGTTGCATTTCCAAAATCGAGCAATTTCGAAGCACTGAAGCGTTTGTAAGAGAACGTTCCACACAGTATTTTCACGCATAGAAAGAAAGTCACATCAAAGAGCTCCGCGTACTTATTTTTTCACTATCCAACTTCAGCCAGCTTCAAAATGGCTAGGAGCTGAAACTAGTTACAGGTATATGCTTTCAACAACGTAATTTCGTCGAGTGTGTCCTGTTCCTGCTTAGAATCCCTCTATTGTCCTCGATATGCGTCGAACTCGTTCGCAAGATTCGGGAAAGGAAACATTCTAAACTTTCTTTGGAACACCTGTTTCGACTATATTTTGTACTATGCTCAAATTTGGATTTTCTCTCATTCAGAATTTTCTACGGAAATTTAGGAAAAAATTTAATCGATCGTTCTTGGCAAACCCCATTTTTTTTTTCTCTAGAAACTATTTTTTTTTTTTAATTTTCGATGTTATGTTCTCGAAATTTTGGGAGGATTAAATTCAAGAAAAATGCCTAAAAAATATTTTTATAGATATATATTATCACCAATGTTTTGAATACGGGACACCTCTCTCTCACCATCACATTATGGTGGTAGACAAGCACGTTACTCATTACACCACCAACGTTCTAAGGTCCAACTTTAATATTAGCCTACTTTTAGAAGACAATTGTTAGCATTATAATAATTTACTTTCCTATTTATAAAATTTCCAATAAAAATTTGAAAAAAAGGTACAACACTGTAATTAAAAAAGAGTTTTCCAAACTTGCGAACGAGTTCCTATATTAATATTTCACGAGGACCGAAATCAGAGTAGAATTAGGATTAAGTATCAGGGATAACTATTGTGTTATTATGCGTTGTAATGCTGCATATATTGTATTTCATTATATTATACACCGCAATGTAACGAGTGCCCTACCCCTGTTAAAGTGTATATCGAATTATTAACTGTATCATAGAGTGTAAGCTATTCCAACTACCACGCCCAGTATTTTCTAAGTATTACAATTATGCTGCAGGATGTGTTCGTGTTGTTACAACTACTTTCTGATCTACCGTTCCACTGAAACCTAACCTAACATTTTTTCTCATTTTCCTGCTCCAAAAAAAAAAAAAAAAAAAGAAAAAAGTATTATTTTGCAAATGATACGAAATATTACTTAAAGTTTATATTTATTTTTTATTGGTAAAACTGAAAAGTTAATTTTGTTTTTCTGGTTAAATTCAGTGGAACAGCGGATCGGAAATAGGGAACCAAAAAGGGGGAAAAAATGTCTACGACACCGCGTTCACTGTACCAACGTTTGTGCACGAATGTTTGGCGAGGCTCGAACGAAGCACCAAAATGATTTATTTCTTCTTCTCGTCGAGCAAAACGAAAGGGAAACAGAAAAATTTCATTATCGTTTCCGTTTTTACGTATGAGAGTGGCTACGGATTAGCTGTGTCTCGTGTGCCATAACTCCTAATGTTTGATATATATTTAATGAGTCTAGTCCATTTACAAAGAAAGAAAACCTTCCGTACACACCCGAGCAAATGTCTTTATCCGAATTCATAGACTGCACGAAATATACAGGGTGGAGCACTTAACTTGACTTCAAATTACTCATAAATTACTTACTGAACGAAAAAATGTTTCAAACTAAAGTTGCACTCTATCAACAGAGACATATAAGACAATAGGTTGTTTGTTACTATCTTATTTTTTTATCGAGATATGAAAGTCACCTTCAGTTTTCAGAAAAAGTGTTGGGCATCTCATTTAAGAAACTAAAGGTAACCTTCATGTCTCGATAAAAATGTAAGGTAATAACAAATGACCTATTGCTTCATATGCCCCCCCTTGATACCGTGCAACTTTTGTTTAAGACATTTTTTCATACAGTAATTAATTCACGAATAATTTGAAGACGTCAAGTTAGGCGCCTCATCATATGTGTGTATATATATATACATATACATATATACACATCCACTTTTTCTGCAGATCACTTCCTTATCGACCAATCTATAATTCAACACGAGGAATCAGGAATGGTAACCAAAAGGGAAGAAAAAACTTTCAGAAAAATTTCAGACCATTTATTCTCCTCTTCCACAAAAATACTTGCCTCTCCTTAGACATAATACACGTGTGAAAAAAAATAGATTGGAAATACATCAGAAATATAAAAAGTACGAAGCAAACGTGTAAAACAGTAGTGGTCAACTGGCGAACGAAAAGAAGCTACCGAGACTAAATAGGAAAAAAGATAAAAGGAACCTAAAAACATCTCGATCGACTTGACATAACCTAAATTCTAATTTCATCGAGGTTAACCAGCTCAGATTCCTTTCTGGTTTAAGATCACTCTTTAGTTATCTTCTACAGCTTGTATTTGGCAGCCCTGATTATGGGGAATTTGTCACCAGTGCATACACCACGGAAATCGTCCAAAGACAAATCATAGATGGCGACACCTCCCAAACCTCTTGCCTTCACGTAGGCAGCCTTGTTGCCAGCAGTGTCTGGATCCTCGTAACCTACCCAAATACCGTCCGCTCCAGTATTCTCGTCGTATGCTTGGAACGCGTAACTGCCATATTTCTTCGAAGGGTCACCAACTCGTCTTAAACGACCTACAGCACTTTCTGTCAGCCTGGAGCAGACCTCAGCGTAAGAAAGAATGCCTGGAATGTTGGTATGAGGTCCCTCAGCACCTGGACCGTCAGCAACGATGGGTGGTACTCCTGATATTTGACTGTCAGATGTGAGTTTCCATGTACGAGCGAACGTTGGGATTCCAACAACGATCTTCGAGCCTGGAGTGCCATTATCGAGCCAGTACCTTGAAGTAGAATTTAAACTTTATGAATATTTTTGGCTAGTGTCAAATTGGGAAGGATTCTAGGGAATTTTGGGGAAGTTACCGCGCTTGGAATAATGAGCAATTCATACTTTTTGGATATTTTTGGCTTATGCTAATTTGGCAGAAATTCTAGGAAATTTTGGAGGAGTTGCAGCGCTTGAAACAACGAAAAATCCCTTTTAAATCGGTTTCTGATAAAGTTAATAATTTTTTTTGTGATTTTTAACAACTATCGAATTACTCACCCCATTGTGGCGTGAACGTTGTCGTGAGGTTCACGACCATAACTCTCGTAAATCGGTGCTGGGTAATCGCCCTCCTGCGGATTACGCTCGGGGGTTTTTTGATCGAAAGCGAACAAGTGCACAGCGTCGATATTCGATGCCAACAGTCTGCAGTCGTAGTAAACTGTAAAAAATATTCAAGTAGATCACACATTTTTCATCATATTATTTTTTGCATGTTAAAAACAGACCTGGTTATATTTGAATAATAAGAAACTTCCGTAATTCATAGTAGTTTAAGCTAATAGTACTGATGAATTTTAGTGAATTGTAAAAGTTTACTCACTGCTGCTGTTCACATGAGGAAGAACAGTAACTGTCAAAGCCTTCAACCTTGGCCTGAGCTGTGCCTTCAGATCACGAACCAAGATAGTGAAACCATCACGATGCTCCTGTTCCTTGTCATCCTTGAATTTACCATAGCCTAATGTTTTCTTCAGACCATGCCAGATGGATCCAAAGGTACCTCTCTGCTTCTTGACTTTGACTGGGGGGAATTGCCAGGCCAAATCAATCCCATCAAAGTCATAATCATTCATTAGACGGTTTACCGAGTTGATGAACTTAGACCTGGCTTCTGTTGTCTCAGTCTGCAAAAGAGTAAAAGATTTCACTTCGAGATTGTCTGAATTGAGTATCTTTCAATGATACAACAAGGTGCAACCTCTCAGTCCCTCAGTTTCCTTCCTCCTCTCCCAGTCACTTTCAGTGACTCTCACCTCTCCCAGTCACTATCAACTTCTGCCAGTCTCTCTCAGTCACTCTCAGCAACTCTCATCCCCTCCCAGCCACTATAAACTTCTGCCAGTCTCTCTCAGTCATTCTCAGTCTCTCAGTCTCCCCTCTCTCTCTTTCAATTAATAAATGGCATTCTGCCCTAAATGAGTCTACATTAATCGGTGTCACTGCTTAATTCTTTAATTTACGACCTTACTACATCAGTTCCACTAACTATACTCACAAGAAGAAGGTATTTGTGAGTGTCTTCTGGAGGGTCAGCATTGCCACCTATACTGAGGTAGATCTTCAAATCTGGGAAAGCTTTCTTCAGCTGAGTGGTCAGCTTGTAGTAAGAATAACCTGCTCCAGTGTCCAAAGATGGACTCAATGGAACAACTTCAAAAGTTTCAGCATTGATTCCTGCAAATCCATACACCAAGTGTGTGCAGAGTGACAGGGCTGGGCGAACATCATCCAACTGGAATTTTCCTGGTCCTAAAATAAAACAAATTACCTTCCAATAAATATAAAAAAACAAAACTACATCCTACAATTGTGAAGTCAAGTGAATTGGGTCTATTCAGTTAGCTTGCTTTTATAAAATCAACGAATTAATCAGAATTGAAGCATTTAAGTGTTACAGCTTGAAAGATATGATCAGTGTGTGAAACGCGAACGTTTATTTATTTCTTCTTTTTAAATAACAGTTACTCCTATTCTTTAATCACTGAGCGAGCGATAGAACATTTTATAAAATAGTGAAAGAAAAAGTTTCACCTTGTCGCTCGAAGGCCGTGCTGTTCCAGTAACATACGACTTTATTATGCTCATGAGGATCAAGAGCGAGCACCGATTGCGCACAAAACACCGCAACAGCGGCGAATATTAGCACTTTCATTCTCACAGGCTGGTTCTAAAAAAAAAAAAAATGCACACACGGCAATTTTAAAATATTTAGGTCAACATGAAATATTCCATTCAGAATGTTCATAATTTCATTCAGCATTCCATGGATCTTCACTTTCACAATCCATAATAATGGACGATCTACAGTTTCACGTACATAATATATTCTACTATATAAAAAATAAAATTGTTCTTCTTCTAAAAAAGGAGATAACTGGGAGGACGAAAATTATTGAAGTATTCAGTACATTATAATGTACTTACATTTTTACCACTTTTTATATTGTACAATAGAGTCTCTTTTTATGTGGCAGAAACGTTTCACAGAAAACCGCATATAAAAAAATCGCACAAAAAAAGACATACATAACTTACGTTGGAGTCTACAACGTACTGTTCATATAGTACATTCAACAGGGAACTCCCGAATTTGCATGAAATATACGCACCGCATAACTTCCAAACCGCATTAAAGAAAGAAAGAAAAAAAACGCATAAAAAGAAACTAGAGTGTACTAACATATACTAACAAAACAAGTTTACCTACTTTCACCTTGAATGTACCAATCTAACTACACAAAATTATTGCCTCCGTTTCCAAAAAAAACTCTCAAATTCACTGTGAACTCTGAAGAAGAGATTTTGGGCTCTAAGGGAAGATCCAAGGTTACAAAAGAACTGACTGGTGAAACGAAGAGTGTAAAAGCATCTTACCTTTTCGAAAGGAAGAAGCAGACTGTCTGCCGCGATTTCTCCGTCAGGGACTTTGATACCTTGGCCGGATTGGATGACGGAGGTAGTGGGGTTAGGGGATATTACGTCAGCGAAACGATCTTCCAGAAACCGTTTCTCTGCGAGCGTGCTTTGTATTGACATGTTCGCAGAGATGAGAAATCAAGGCCACAGAGGGGCCACGAAAATGTTTCTGAGAACTTGGTTTGTTTACAATTGAAGAGACGACGCGTGGACGATTATCAATTATGTTTGCGGAATTACCATTACCATTTCTTCCATTCGAGGAGAGAAAATTTATTTACTCTTGGGGTTAGAAGAATGGTGAACTTTGGAATATAACTGTGTTCTTGGAATTAGTACTCTGTGATTTTTCGGGAAAGTCTTTCTCATCGATTAGAAAGAAAATTTGGTATCGTACATTTTTGAAACATTGCACTGCTCTTTTTTTTAATGCAATATTTATTCTAATTGAAAACATTAAATACGAAAAATAGTACATTTTTTCCGATGTAACTGGTGCCATTTTTCATTTCGAAGAAGATATTAGAAATTTATATAAGATATTTGGAATTTTTAAAGAGTCATTTTTAATATTCCATTTCTTTTAGGCATTTCAAAATCAATTTTTAAATGAAATTCTTCGTTTCTTCGTGTTAAGCGAAACTATCACGAAAAGTGTTAATGAGTTCAGGAGTCTCTAGTATCATCCTCCGTTATTTACCGTACGGTGTAACATGTTATTCCCGCGAAATATCTACGATAAATAATTACGTATTAATTTACTAAAACACAGATGCAATATAATCATAACCTTTCGCTCCAGTTATCTCATTTAATGTATATCACATGAAACTTCGCGATTCTAGCCTCTAACCTGAGGTCCCACAATAATACGTAATTATACAGGGTGGCCTACAAATCTAATACTTTACCATTTCAAAATCGAATAACTTTTTTTCTATTATACGTTTCAAAAATTTTGCTTCAGATATTCAAATAAAGTTTATTCAATTTTTAAATGGCGAAACAACTTATGGACCACCCTGTATAAACACAATTTTACTAATTCCAAATCAGTGCTTTTACCATAATAATAATAATAATAACTACAAATACAGTACCTAACCTAACATTGGGGTCAATAAACGAAGTATTACACCACTTCATCGCTATCATATTCTTTGTTCCTTTATTCTGAAAGCAACATGTAGTGAAATCACAAAATTAGTCAAGTGCATAATAGAGTATAGGTTAACGAAAGATTCTAAGCAGAAATTTCAAATATTATGTTATACAAACGCTTTAATTTACTATATCCATTCCACCGACTATACTACTCCATTTCTTTTCTATCGTAAACCTATTCAGACTCTGAGAAGTCGTTTATGGCAATTAGTCTTATTTGCACGTGCCAAAGGAGGAAAAAGAAACATAGGAAACGAATTGATTTGCAATCGTTGCACGTTTCAAGGTTTATTTTGAACGCAGCCGATCATGTAGACGTGAGACTACAGATGATTATCCAGCTACCTTCGCGTTAATCGAATATGACCTACATGGCGGTGAGAAGGGAGGGTATCACGGAGTGTTGATCTCATCCTACAAAACGTATCATACAATCATTTTCAATTACCTCGACGAGGTAATTGAAGTGAATAAGTCTACTCGCGTTCTTGAGAAAACCACTGAGAATTCGCTGTCTCTTTTTGGTTACTTTTATTTCCTTCTACACTGTAGCTCAAAAGTTTGGAGCATCTTTCGTTATTTGGACGAAACAAGCTTCTTGATGCGTACACAGTAGCATTGAAAGTATTGCACTTATATATTAGAATAACATTACATAATTTTGATTTGATGTTGGAATTGGAATAATATACAGTGACATAAAAAGAAGTGTAAAATAACTAATATACAGTAACATAAAAGAAAGTGTAAAACATCTAACACCGATTTGTGGAAATATTTACAAAGAGCCTGAGTCAATATTAAATCGGAAATATTAATTGCCAGAATGTTGAAATTATGTCAATGTTAGGTTAGGTTATTTTAGGTTAGGTTAGGTTATTAATTCATTAAAAAAAGGAATATTCTTTTGCGTAAATTTCTTTGTTTTTCTGAAAAATTATATTTGTTTTGAAATCTTAATATGTTCCAAACTGTTGAGCTGTAATGTATACTTCACTATTTCGTATTCTCCTTGCAAAATTTTAGAATTGCTGATTTTTTTTAGATTCGAAGGTCCCGAGGAACAGAGGGAGGACTTATCGTTTTCTTTGTCTAGAGAAAACGAAATAAAGAAATATTGGAACATTCATATATGTACAATTTTTCGAAAATTAAATGCGTAACAAAATATTTCGATCGAAGGGGAAATTTTATTTCTGTTATAGGTTAGGGCACCGCCATTTCCCGTCATAGAAGGAAAAAATGTTATTATCTCAACACTAGATCCGAAAAACAATTTCAAGAATCGACGTTGTGCTAATTATCACGAATTCATGACAGAACGAGCGCTACAAAGGTGATTAGACATGTTGCAAATCGCTTCTGAGAAAAGCGATCGCCTTTTATCGTGTTCCAGGTATTACGTAATATGCCTACATGTGTATCTGACTCATTGGTAAATAAAATCCCGAGCAAATATGTTCTACAGAATCGATTGCTCTGCATAACGCTCTACATATGCAAACACGCGATCGATAATGAGAAAACTCGCAAAAACGATCATTTTGTTCAATACATTCTTCTCGAAGATGGTTTTCGAACGATATCTCGTTTACGACCGTTATTCATGCCGGGATAAAATATTTGATTACTGTTATACGCGAAATATATATTTTAGATTAATTTTAAACTATATTAATTCGATTCGAAACACTTGGAAGATATAGGATGTCTAATTTATTGATAAAATGGCAACTGGTATGTTTTTGGTCATTTGTTAAGAAAACATCGATGACACATCGATAAGGAATCTGTTAATAGGCTAATTAACGTGTTTGAATGGTCGGATTCATTGTGGAACTTTCACAATGGAAAACTTGATAAACATGTTGGGGAATTTTATCAGTGTGAAACGTCATTTACAATTTGGAATATAGAAATTACAAAGTCCTGTAGGATGTACAAATGTTATGTCATCCTTGATGTTTGATTTATGTTCTGTCTTAAAAGAAGGGAAATATTCTTTTTAAAACTGAAAGAACTGTAATAACTGACAGAAAACAACAGACCAAGTATTTTTATGGATATCCACTGATTTATTCTCTGTGCATGTACTTTAAAGCAAGAACAAAAGTTTATATTGAAGTATTTGATCTATAAATCATTGATTAGGAGATGCTTCCTCAGTCATTGCTGACCAGAAGCGATAACGCCCCTTTTCACAGGCACATATCACTGTTAAAGGTCATTAGAGCAATGTAGATTATTTTATATTTATTTTCTGCAGACACGTCAACATACTCATAAATTGCACATTCTATGTATAAAGCAATTAGTGGTTTCTTTTTATATATCCTGAGGAACTCAACAAAGTAACATTTTCTTAGTTTTTTCGAAAGATATTAAATATAATAATTGTAGAATATTTTTTTGGAAAAAAAGAATTTAATTTCTTTCTTCAATATTTAAAGATTAAAAATTTATAATACAATTGAGAATAGAATTAACTTGCTTCAATAACGTTTAAGTAATGCAATTTTATTTTTCTATGAAGGGAATGGAGGTAAGGTACTAAAAAAAACACGAGATTTTTCATTACTTTTATTATGAAAAGAATCTTATGTACATGTGAATCACTTCTCTCTGTGTTGGTGTATAAGTAGACATCTACGGTCATAACAAATATTAATCTATATTTTTTTAGTAAATTCCTTAAAGTAGTTCCTTTCATTCTGTTTAAGTCTTGATTGTTAGCGCCTGTACGACGGTTGATAGGCAATACATAAATCACGTGTACCATTGCACCGATCATATTGCACGGTTTTGTGACAAGAACGGTTGGCTGATTGAAATGGTGAACTCTATTTAGAAATTTCCAACGTGTCGTGTTAAGTAATGAGTGCATTTAAGTCACAACCCCGCGTAGGTGTCTCACTGAAGAAAGTCATTGACTCTTTCACTGGCAGAACTAGTTGCTTCCGCAATTTTCTCGTAGATTACTTCAGTTTCGTTGATTGATAATTAGATAGTTAAAAAAAAATAAAGTTAAAAAGCCAACACTGCACAAAGGAGAAGTATAAAAATATTTGATACTCTAGCTTCACAAATACTTGTGTAACTACATGCTACAACTGATTAAATGGATTTACTATTCCCTATGCAAAATATTTGAAGTTTTTAACATAATTCTTTAAAAAGAAATTACATGCATCTCTCTTGTACTTAAAAATGCTTGTTTCCTACATAAAAAGTTTTTCTTGAAAATGCTTTAAGAATACCTACAAATACTGTTACCTAACCTCTACCACAATATTTTCACTATTTGCTAAATGCATAAAATGCATTTTCCGTCAATTCAAATTAGTAAATTAACTACTACATATCTTTTTTTGACATTTTCTGCCAATGAAAGAGTGAATTTTTGTAAGAGGCTCATCTTTCACCAAGGAAACTCTAATTCGTTTCTCCTACCTTAGAATTAACTCTAGAAAAATACAGTCTGTTCTTTTTCTTTTTTTTTTTTGTTTCTATCGACACGCTGCTCGGGCCAGTCCACGAGCTTCTGAATAAAAATACAATCTGCTCTTAAATAGCATCTGTATAGAGTATAGACTATCTAAACTTTTTGGCTAGATCTTCATACGATTTAAAAAAAAAAATTAAAAATATAAAAAAAAGTAGAAACGGTGCGTCTATCGTTGAAAATCTTCTCTTTCTTCCTCATAACGAATGAAGGTTAGTGGCAATGTCAGTTCATTAAGTAATCGCAAGGTAAAGAGTTAAACCGAAGAACAGTGAACGGATTTTTGCTTGAATAAGGCTCACACTTATTCGTCCAAATTCTTCAATCTTCCAGTATATATTACCTTCTCTAGAAACAACTCTCTCTTCTCTAACTTAAGATTGTGAGGTTAGTCTATCTGATCATCCTCATCTGAAAAACATCAATGAAAAATTAAAAAAAACATTAAAAGCCACTTAACCAATGAATCTGTGTCATTGATTCAACTACCTTCCACATCTTCACCTTCAACCAACTGCAAATCACTGTTCTTCTGTTGAGGATCCTTGTCATATTCAACTCCATCATAGTGATCATCACCAGCATCAGCATTTCGCTCAGCTCCAACATCCAAACTGTCAAAACCAATGAAACAAAACTTTTAACTCTGAATAACTTCCAGCCATCCAACTCTGAATAAAGAAGTCCAATATAACTAATAAAACAGAATTATAAATAACTAAAACAACAAATAAAACAAATAAATAGAAATGGAAATTATTTAGTGAAATCATACCCAGGAAGCCTGATGTGGTTCAACTCTTCCCCAATTTCCTGTACACCAGGACCAACATTGAACCAACCATTTCCTCCTCTTCTGTCTGGGAGTTGATCCTCAACCCTTCTGGCTGGAATGGCCGGAAGTGGAAGGTCCAAGTTTTCATTTTCAATCTCCTGCTCCTTACTGTCCACGCTGTTTCTTTGTTTGGGCTCTTCCTTCTTCTTGGCCACTTCGTTCTGTTTCTCCTCGCGATTCTCCAGCTTCTGGTCGATCATCACCGGAATTGGCAGCACACCAACCGGAAGTTTAACCTTCGAGGCCGGTTTCGCGACAGCAAGCGCTTTGTCGACGGCCGTTGACGCTGGATTACCACTGCTTGCAGGTGTTGAAGTCTCCAACTTCAAGGCTGGGATCGATTTCATTGAACTGGTCGCCACTGTGCTCTGAAAAATTAATTTTGCAATTTTGTTTTCGTGCTTCGTCTAATTTTTTTTAGAAACATTTTAATATTTTTGAAACAATACATATTTTTGGAGTGACGTTAGTTCTCATGGAATTGAAGTAATTATTAATGATAATTAAAATAATTTATTTATTAATTTAAATGTACGCTAAGAACTTAAGTCTAACTTCTAATTTTTTCCTGCATATATGCTGTCTTCTAAGTACCACCTATTTATACATTCTAAGATAAAATAAATGGAAAACTTCAAACAATAGTTAATTTTGAATTTTTTCATAAATCATAGGACGTGGCACGTTTTAATACACAAAATTAACTTACCTTTCGAGACTTTTTCACAGAGGATGATTCTTTATGTTTTTTCATTCGATATTATGAAAGCGTGTATTTAAAAAAAAAAAAAATATTGCTCAAAGCATGCTTTTGTTTAGGAAAAGTCCACCTCGTAAAGGAGAAATTTAGAACCTTCATTAGTTGTTTACTTCAACATTGGTCTTTTAGTCACGTAACAAAAATTTCAACAATTTTGATACTTATAATTGCTGTACAAAAATTTTGATCGTAGTTCTAAAAAAAGTTACTGTGAAGCATCGATGAACGTATGCACGTTCCGTGTCTGAAGCGGTACGTTCCGTGTCCGAAGCGGTACGTTCCGTCTTGAACTTACATGAGCTTACGTCTTTCGTTCGTCGTTAACGTCCGTCGATCGTCGTTAGCAATGAAGCAATTTTTAAAGTTCAACTAAAAAAAGCTGAAGCGTGAAGTATCCATTAATTCTATGGTCTAATTAGGAGCATTAAAACGGGAATAGATTTATGGAAAAAGTGAAAGCAAATTAATAAAAACAATTTTAATCTGTTGATCTTAAAAGGTCCATCATTTTCACTGTTTTTAATTGGTCCACTACTTGATTAAAAGAGGATCTATTAAAATTCAAATAAATTTATAAAAAATTTAAAGTTAAGTTAATTTTCGATTTTACGATTTTTCTTTTTTATTTTCTTAAGGAAATAAGAATGTATAAAATTCACAGCAAATTAGCAACAAGGAAGCAGATCAGTTTAGTTAGGTTTGTGCAGGGGTGCCAGAAAAAATGCAAGCAGATTAAAATAATAACAATTTATTAATGCATCGATTAACACGGACATACAGGCACATTCAATAGCTTGCAAGCTACAAGTACATGACTCGTTTCTTCTTTGATCATTCAGGAGAAGTGACACGCGAAATTGTTCACCTTTCCTTTGCATCAGACTGTCCATTTAATTAAACTGATCCACAAAACAAATTGCACAATCATACTTTGAGTACAGTAGTGATAGCCTAATGTGTACCATTTTACAGATACAAATTGCTAGGTTACAAATACAAATTAAAAAAAAAAGGTAGAAAAAGAAAAAGAATAGACATTTACACAATTACTAAAACATTCTTATATCAGAAGGGGTCAGACGTTTGTTCTTTTGTTACACAAAATGTCTAAGATATTGCACTGGGAACACCTTTGCTAAAAGCTTATATAAAAGTAAATATTAATACCTAATACACCTCCAGCCATTAAAAGAATATAAGTAGAATAGGGTTAGTGGATCTCTTCACATTGCTAGATCAATATATGTATAATCTTACGGTTTTCCAAGTTCAAGATAGAAAAGTACAGTTCCTTTTTAATATTACATACACACAATTTCATTTTCCAGCACACATGAAATAATCATATGCACTAACTTAGAAGCACTGCATGTGTCTTCTTCATTTGTTCATTTTTTTTACAGTAAATCAGACGTATGTATTAATTATAAATTAATAAAGAAAAAAAGTGGACAAAGTTACAGAGTAATCTTCACAAAACTATCAATTAGCAATTAGCTTATCACGTCATGCAACGAATTTCTCATATTCCCCATGTTTTATCACATTTTACTATACAACCTTTCTTTCAGTCACTTCAACACTGGATCTCACAAATTTCAAACCCTCATTGTACCGCTCCAATTTACAATGATTCTCTAAATATACAAAGAGAAAGTGGTTCTATGGATCACCTTTAAGTTGTTCAAATCAATTAGAATAGTCATCTATCTACAGCACCCAGTACAAACCATGCAAGTAACGTGCATGTGTATATATTACCAGTACAAGATCACACTGAAAGAGACTGTTTCCTTGGCGATCAAAGGCACTTCTTTTGAATCCCTCTAAGCTAGGATAGTAAATTTCCCTGTCTATCTTAACACGTGACCGTTACCTTAAATTAAAATGTTCTCTCTAATTGTTTCATACATTGGAGAACATTACATTGTAGTGTACGATAGAACAAAAATGCCAAACGACCAATCATTCGTAGAATGGAAGAATGCATTCAAACCTTACACCCTCTGTTCTTTTTTCAAAACGCCTTGAGCAATTTTGTTTCAACGGAAATCACAACCAGAACCTGAGTTAAGGTGCATACAATCATTAAAAAAATTAGCTGCAAATTTTAAAGGTTTCCACATAGGAATAGACACATCTTCCAAGGACAATAGTTGCAGAGTGCTATCAACATAATTAGTACTCCCAATAGAAAAGTATCTAAAGAGACGTTACAAGACTCATAATCTGATTTAGAATGCCATCCATATTGTTCTGGGCCCCCTTCAGTCTCTCCTCCACCTTCTCAGAGACCTTTTGGCTGGTCACAGTCTCGACTTTCTCGTCATTTTGCTTTAGCAATGATAAGGGAGTAGAGGACTCCTTACTTCCTGGCCCGTCCGTGGCACGTTTTTTATCATAATTGACCTTTTCTTTTTCCACCTCAAGCACCATATTATTCTGATTAGGGGGTGGAATCACTTGTTTCAGTTGTTCTTCTTCGAGATTCTCGTCTCTTTCAACAGCCTTTCCGTTCTCAACCTGGGTATTATTAGCCACTGACTGCTCCTTCTCTTTCTTCTGGCGTGCCTCTTGCAAGTCATAAGGCAACGGTAACACTTCACCCTCCTTCACTTCATTGGGGCCAACTGGGACGATGTTTCCATTCTTCTGGGCGAATCGAACGTTGTTCATCTCGTTCGCCCGTTGCTCGTTCGACTGCAAAGGGTCTTCGATCGTCTGCTGAGCTTGGGGCTCGTGCAGGGGCTGCGGGCTTTTAACGTCGTTCGTCGGTGGACTTACCTGTGGTTGCTGATATGATGGGCCAACAGGTTGTACTTCCTGTCCTGGCTCTCCTGGTTTCATTTGTGCCTCCACTGGCTGTGCAGGCAAAGGATTGGGTATGCTTGGCCCAGGGGAAGTAGCTTTGCATGCAGTTTTCTGGTGAAAGGGCAAACATCAGGAATTACTGATCAAACTTCAAAACTTGAATGAACAAATTCTACTTAAAAAAAAATCATACCTTCGTCTCTTCTAGTTCACGTTTCAATTGAATCACCTCCTTTCTGAGATGTTGGATGGTGCTGTCAGTGTTGCCATTGGCCTTCAACAGCTCAGCGTACTTTTTCTCTAGTTGGGTCTTCTGTGTATCCTGCTGCAGGAATTCATTCTTCAGATGCTCAAAAGCCTCTTTGTCCACCCTTGCCTGCTTGATACGACTGCGAAATTCCTTGAGCGTTGCTTCTAACTTGTTGGTGTCCTCCATTACTTGGGTCTCGCGCTTCTTGCACTCCTCTTGCAGATCCTGGTGCCTGGTCAGCAGTATTTTGTGCGTCTGCTGAAGGGAATTAAACCTCTGATTCGCTTCTACAGTGTCCTTGTTTCTGAGAAGCTTCTCCCTGGTGTTGGAGATCTTCTCCTCAGCCAAGGACTTTTCCAATCTCACTTTGTACTCAAATATCACTGGGAATTAACAGAGATAACTTTTCGGTGTATCTATGCGATAGTAATTTTATTCTATAATTCATGGATATGGCTTCTTTCCATGATCAAATTGATTTCGTGTTTTCAAAAGACTATATACCTTGCAGTTGAGCAGCTAGGGCCTCTTGTTGATGAGCACATTGCACGTGAAGTTCCCGGAGCCTGGCCATCTCTGAGGAGGCGGCGCGGTAGAGGATCACTAGGAGAACAACCACCACCCCGCAACCCCCGTACACGGCCAGGCGGCCACCCCGGCCCCTGCCAAGTCGGGAACCACTCATATCTGCAAACAAAACAGTGTCGTTGAATTATTTAAAATTTTGACTACCTTTACTTTTTTCAAAAAATAACCAGCGAATTACTAACAAATTACTGATTACTAATGATGTGTTGGCAACTGGAAATGCATGGAATCCTTTTATTCGCACATAAAAGTGAAACCGAGGAATAAGGTCAAGGGGTGAGACAGACTTGAGCATGAGAACAATTTGTGCTATCACTGATCACGGTGAGACGATAAACGCGAGTGAAAGTCGACTATAAGAGCTCGTGACATCCTGTTGCATAATACACAATTCTTCTCGGCGGAAGAAATATTGAAACCATCATCGAAATTTCGTGGATTACAGTTTCGGAAGATGGCCGATGTTAAATTTAACGAGTTATGACTAAGGTCGCGGAATTCATAATGATCATGAAGCTCAAGTGAATGACGCCTTGTCCTAATTACGCGTATATTTTCTCCTCGAACCTCTTGCTTGGCAACCACTTTGAATCTTTTCCATTTTGAGTAACATAATTTAGCATAAGTTCAAAAGAGAGGTTAAGAATATGTAGTGGGACTTGTATACCCTCCATTTTTACTTGTGAACAACTTACTTCATAAAAATAACTTCAATGCAAGAGTAATTAGTTTTATTTTTTTTTATAATAAAAATTCGGAGATTCAAAGTTGATAAGGTGAAAAAATTGAGCCTTTTTGAGGCTGTTACAATTCTAAAAATTAGTTCGTTACAAGTTGCACGATTATGATTCGAGTTGGATTATCGTAATCTTCCTTATCAACCGACGGAAAATAATGTAATTTCCAAGGAACACATGTTGGCAGACAAGCATTAATTTAAACGTTAAGCGCGTGCACGTGTTTGCAAAGCAAAGGGCGGCCGTTCGCGTGACACGCTTTCATTTCCTAGATCTCAAAGAAACCAAAGGGAAACACTATAGTACAGCAGGGGTACACCTCGGCCATTTGTCTTCCCCACTTTTTAATCTCTCTTAATTATATCTCTTGTCCCCTCGTAACACCGCAAGATACACAGCCACCGATACGTGGAAAATCGTAATTGCACGTTCGCTTGTTCCACTGTATTGTACACCATGAATTAAAATGCTGTACAACATATTACCACAGTATGTAACCCTTAACTACAGACATCTGCTTTTAAGTCGTTACCACAGACGCGCAGACTCTCAGATTACTTTTTCAACCTCCCAGACAGCCGTTTTATTTACTAAATTATTGTGTTATAAAAATAAATCTAACATATAACTATTTTATTTAATGACATATTTAATATTTCGTTTGTTAAGGTTATTTGCAATATTTCATATTTTATGTTTATAAGGTTATATAAAAAAGTAGGAATCTTCTTTTTCTTCCTTTATGAAAAGTATGTACCCATTATCAATTGAAAGTGTATACTGAAATGTTAAAGCTTCCAAAATTCTTTACTAGATTGTGATAGTGAAATAAAAATTCAGATTCGTCTCTTCACAAACTGTTACAAGTAACCGCGATTTCAATTATACGCAGAATTTTTTCTTGAAAAATTTCGACGTTCATTTCGAATCAATTTACATATTTAGCATACATTTACAATTTTCTTTATCGTGGCGAATAAGAGAGGTGAGCAAGAGCGAGCGCGAATTCGTTCGCGTGCACTAATTCTTCACAATATTGCCGTTGCATACAAGAAGCAGTGGCACCGAATTCAAATAGATAACGAACAACCGAACTTGGGAAAAAAATCAGAGGACCAATGTGTCGCTGTGAGCTAGAAGGAGCTACATTTAAGTAACTGCATAATACATGCGCGCGCGCGTGTGTGTGTGTAAATATATGCACATGTATTAGAAGAATATAAATACTCCCCAGTTTTTTGTGAAGACAGGGAAAGGGGAGGGGGTGGTTCCCAACTACGCGGACAGTCGGTGTTCCTAACCCCCGCGTTGTTCGTGGGAGCACTGCACTTTAAGGTTAGGTGTATTAGCTATAAATTCTTCCGAAATACTGTTTACTTAAAATTCTGAATTTTCTTCATAGAAATGCACCTACTATCTAGATAAAGTATTTTTCTTTATTAATTATTCAATGTTTTAAATTTGTAATCGATGAAAAGAAATCCATGATAAATCGTAATGATTTCGTCTCGAATTCAACCAGCCCAGAGAATATTTTTCTATATTATTCGCATCCCCCACTCTTAGTTATTTTATTCTGGAAACTAGATACACCGTATTACCTGCGGTTAAGTGGTTACGCCGTGGATACGGTGTGTAAGATGGATAGATTACAAGGACAAACGAACTGATCGACCTTAAGATCCATTCACACGATGAAATGATTTATTTCCACGTAACCATGAAAGTACTAATAATTTCTGAAACGACTTTATACTGATAGCGCGAGCTTTTACTGCATGAAGTGACTGTAACGTGAGAGTCAATTATTATATGATGACTATAAAATAAATGACCATTGACTATAGGTTTATGGTACGTGACAACTATGTCTCTATGAAGTGTGTAACTTGTAAATCTTTGCGAATAGGAGATTAATATTTCGAACATTTTCTCAAACGACAGTGAACAATAAACATTAGAGTATTCGAAATAAACGCGATTGAAAGGATGAAACTGTTTCTTCTTTACCTGTGATCTTGATTGACACTGAGTGACTATAGTCACTGAATTCGTCTGAGTGTGAACTAGATTTAAATTTACTGAAAAATATACAGTTCTATTTAAAAAAAAAAAGCAATAACTTTGAAATGCCCTTGACATCTTCGTGCACAAGAAATTAAATTGCACCGAAAAGTGTACCTCTTAAAATGCTTCAATTCTTCCAAACGGCATTTTTCATATCATCAATATTTCTGATAATATACAATTATTAAGTCTTATGTGTCTCACCCTGTATATTCAACACACGGCTGTTACAAGATGGCTGAAAACTGACTGAAAACGACTATACACATAACCTAACAAATTGTAACAGATCGATCATTAAATCATCGAACGATTTTGCTAATATATTGTAAGTGGCGATTTTTTAACGAAATGAGCGTTTAAACAAAATACAATGTGGAGCTATTAATCGTTTTAATAAATCGCGCGTGTCAGTTTCCTAGGTTATTCAATTACTAATAACAGCACGTTAAATTGGCCGATTAATATTCCACGGTACGAAACCAAATTTAATAATTCAGCCCGCGGCCGTGGTTAGATTTCCCAGCGTTCTGTTTAATGCAGTGCGTAAATCCATTCCGGTTTTCATAAATTTGTGGTAGCACAAAAATTGATACCTTTATGGGGGGGGGAGTATGACTAATTTAATGTAGTCCCGGAACGAAATAACAAAACGCGCTGCACCATTTAGCTCACAAGCTCGAGATAAACGCGAAATGCAATGAAACCATTTATCAGATAACTGTACGTTATTCGTGTGAAAAATTAGTCCAATCCATGTGAATTTCAGGTTAAATTACGCTTAAATATGCATTAATTGGTAAAACTACTTTTCCAGAATGCGTACGCGTCTTAAAGGCGTATTCTCGTTTCGACCTTCGATTATTCAAGATTGAAGCTGAGCCAGAAAAATCGACTGTAAAGACATCTGTCACTACAAGGAAAGTGCAAATAAAATGACGACGACGTAATGATCCGCTGAACCCGGTAAAATCGACGATTTCCTATCATCAATCTCGTCACTTTCTCTCGTTTAAACAGAAAGACTGAAATACTTCTCTCTAACGCGATTTATTTGTCTACTGTTCAATCGCTTCCCACTATACAGTGCTCCCTCCAAAAACGCGGGGGTTAGGAACGCCGACTGACCGTGTAATTGCACCCCCACCCCCCTTCGTAAAAAAAACTGAAAAACATTTGTATTCTTGTAATGTATGTGCATATATTTCCACACATGCATGCTCATATTATGTAATTACATACTTAAATGTAGCTCCTAGCTCGTAACGACACATTGGTCGTTTGATTTTTCTTCCAAGTTCGGCTGTTCGTTATGTATTTGAATTCAGTGTCACTGATTCTTGTATGCAGCAGCAATTTATGAGAAATTAGTTCATGCGAACGAATTTGCGTTCGCTCTTTCTCACCTTTTTTATTCGCCATGATAAACAAAATTGTAAATGTATGCCAAATGTGTAAATTGATTAGAAATGAACGTCGAAATTTTTCAAGAAAAAAAAAAGAAACGCATATAAGTGAAACCGCGTTGTTCGAGGGAGCACTAATTACTAGTCAATAAAACAATGTAATTATTGATACAAAGGTACCTATTAAACGCTACTATATTGCACTCCATCGTTACCCGTTTCCCTGTATTATTAATAAATCAATCGCACCAATGCCTAATACATTTGGACGCCTATACGGAATCTATCGTGGAAACCGTGGGTATTAATGCACGTTCCAAGAATTTATGTAGCTTCTCTCGAGATAAATTGTGTATTAAACATGGCGAACAAGGTCTGCGATTCTTCTCAGTGAAAGCTGAAGGCTGTCGTTCGTGATTGTAAGTGCATAGGAAACACAACGGGCAAAAAAAAATCTCGAATGTCCTCCTCGAAAATATTTTTCTAAAAAACACTCTTTACAAAACCTTAAATTCTCCTAGGAACTTTATATAGTCATCTAGGGATGATTTGTTCCAATGTTTATGTACATAACCTAGAATTAAAAAATCATTTATTCCCCCGCGCTATACGCGCCCATAACCTATACAAAACAAACACGAACTTTTGATCGACGGTGTACAAGTATAGGGTAACGCGAGCAGAGGCAAATGTCTGAAATTAGACACCGGTAATTACGATAGGCTGTTTTTATCGCTGCACTTCGGCCGGTTCTGCGTGAACGGAAATTACATCCGGCTTGCATTGCTCATCCGCGACTCGTTCGTCCTTGCTGACCACGCGAATTATCAAGAATGTTTGTCTAGAAAGACGATACCCTGTGTACGTGTATATTTATGTGAAGAAAAAATGTACGAGGGATAGAGTGTAAGCTATCTAGCGGCTGAATTCGAGTTCACTGACACTTTCGAGCACGCGCGATAGATCCTGCTTTCGAGCGTGCATATGTGTATGTCACGGGACCCGTCCCTGTGTCTGAAATTATTTTAACAGCATTAGATTTGAGGGAAGGGATATTTTCCAACATTTTATTAAGCATTGTTAACGTTATGCGAATATATTTAAACGTGACAGGTAGATAGCAATTAATTTAAAAATGATTTATTTTATGTACCCGAAGACGCACTATACCCTCATGGTCTAAGTGTAGTTTTAGCAGTATTCATAAAATATACAGACGCGATATAGGCGTCCTGTAAAAATTGTAAACGGGATAATTTTATCGTCAATTCGATAGAGTCCCCAGAAGGCCACCGTGAAACCGGTTTATAGTGAACAGCATGATGTAGGACCATAAACGCAGCCTTTTTGAAGATCCTCCTCGATGCTCGTTGAAAATTTCACGATCAGTTAAAAAGTACTTCAATTCTGATAATTTTAAATTAAAACAATTTTCATTCTACAATGCACATTTCTTTTCATTAAAAAAAAAAAACATTAAAAATGTAATAATTTTGAGGTTAATTTACTGCGCAATGAGTTATATCATAAAAATACACGTTTTGTTTACAAACATTGACGAAAACAAGAAAAATTTATATCACAACTGGAGATATTAAAATTGACAAACTTTAAATCGAAAGTCATAAAACGAGATAACGTTACATTCGAAACATTCAAGGCGAAGTTAATATTTCATCAGATTCTATATAGAGAGCGGCTTTCGCAACCGTGGTACGCTTTCTAAGGTAGAAAAAAGTCGGTAGAGGACAGTGCCGTACCATTTAATCGAATGTATTTCTTCGCGGTTCTATTTCTTTTTTTAAAACTGCACTTTCACGTAATTCTATAGTTAAAGGGATTCGAATTATTTATGCAGAGGATTGTTACCAACCGTATAATTTTCGAGGTCGTGCATCGGAATTCAAGAGTTCGCACTTACGTATACACATATACCGCACACGTATAACCGGTTAATATTGCTATGAGCTACAAACGGTTAAAAATTGTAAAAATCGCACTGTTTCACGACTTTCGGCCTATAACTGCAATAAATCTGAAGATTTTTACATCTTTCGATGTCTGTCGCTTGTTTCTCCATCGACCGATTTCGATGAAATTTTCGGTATGTACAATATGTAATTGACATAAATCTACAAAACGTATGTTTTAAATTTTCGTTACAAGTTCAAACAAAAAAGTTGTAAACAATGACCTTTACAATTTTCTTCGCGATTCCCACAAATTGCAAGTTTTCCAAATTTTTTTTGTACATGTCATCTAGTATACTAATCCTTCTAACTTCTCAAAAAAACTCTGTCCTTTGGCCTAATTTTAAAAAAGTTATAATGTTCTGAATAGTGTCTGAATTTTTTTTGTGACCGACTGTATAAGAGCATCGTTAACCTTACTGACCAGCTGAAGATTGCATCGCGTTGTCAAACGATGCTATTTATCCTCGCATGTTCCAACGACGCTTCACTGTAACTACTAGCACCAGATAAAATCATTTTCAACTTCACTGATCGCGAATTTCGCGCCGTCGGATTATTAAAAAATTTAATCGAAGATTGACACCGTTTAAAAGTTCATTGTACGATTAGTCGTCTGGCGCGCGCAGGAAAAAGAATGAGAATACTAATGAATCAGCACGATAAACAAATATTTGCCAGTCAAATAATTTTTTTACGAAACGATCCCACACTATCTACCACGTTGAAAAAATGCTACATTATCAGTATACACAAACCACTCTATATTTAAAATGCTAATTGCTATGTAGAAAAAGTAAAAAACGATTTATATATACACAGAATACTTTTTTCACAATTTTTATTTAACGCTCTCCGACTAAATTTATATTTTGCAATCTGCTTTCTTTTCGACGATCATTAAAAGCGTGTATGATCGTCATTACATCACAGGAGGTCACTTCACGAGAAATTCACCGGTCAATCTGCTTCATCAGCACCTCGAACCTCGATTATCGAAAACACACCACATATAATATTAAACTGCATGTTGAAGCTGCTCCTACCTCATGCACAATATTATGAGCACCGTACTCTCAGCTCTCCGTCATCGCCGCGTCTTCGAGCGTTGTCCTGCAAGCAATGGCCAACAGTGTACGTTATAAGCGTCGCGACACAAGCATCCGACCAGCCAGACGTGGTTACGCGAACGCGACGTGTTCAACGTCGACAGAACCGTCCACAAGTTGAAATCGATGCCACGATCGAGGTGAACCACTACCGACAGGTTAGAAGTTGTACGAAAAACCAGTGTCTCAACGATACAGTTGGATATTCAATGCTGTTACCCCTACCACTGCCCCCTGGCCGGTACGCCATTGAAGCTGGCGACCGTTGACCAATTGCAGCTCGTCACTTCGACGTGCGACCAATACGTGAAACGTGTATTGCCAATACATGATCGAGAAATGTTTCAACTGGGCGAAAAGATTCGCAATCCCGCCATTAGCGAAAGAATTGAAAATTGCTTATCTCTTCAAATATGCAAAACGAAGGATTTTAAGGAGTATGTAAATTTCTTAGTAAATACTCTTTAATTTATGAAATATTGAATTATTTAAACGGAGTGAAATTGAGATTACGCTGAACGCGGAGATTTGCAAAGAATGGCTTGTTAAATTGATCAAAGGTAGTGATCGCGATTTCTTCTTCCGCAAATGAAAGCAAATGTGAGAGTGACCCTCTTCTTAAAACACTGTTACTAGGTCGTCGTGCATTTTTCTGGTTTGTTTCGCTTAGCACTTGCAATTATTGTTTTATTATATGTTTAATTACATCAGCCGAAAGTATTTTGTATTAACGAAAAGTAATAGTCATTTTACAATACGAAAAAGCCTTTTCCTTACACGATAAAGAGTTTGAAAAAATTTTATTTGAAAACGAATACATATTTTTTATTGCATTAAACGAACCACTTTAATGATCGTTATATACATGTAGCATATAATAATACTTCAAATTCGGACAAACATTCTACGTTTATCAACGTAATTTATTTGAAAATAAATTTTAATAAATAATGGTACATTTGAAATAAAGATGCCGTGGAACATGAGTAGTCTAGTGACTTTCACTAGCACTACAGCGTGAGTTGGCGGCAGCGTCGTCCCGCGGGGCACGGCTCGGCAAGCATCGGCCGCTCAGTCAAGAAACTCGACTGCACCGAATCACTACGAGCGAGGTTAAAATCGTACGAGCCAGGAGCGCGCTGCTCTCTCCTGCTATCGGCTCTACCTGCTCGGCAGTGGCTCTCTGCCGAATCCTGTGGTGTTTCCGGGCCGTGGGACTCACGTGCTGTGGTTCATCCCGAGTGTTCGCGGGTTAAGGGACGAGGCACGGCCGCGGAACAACGAGAATCCCGTCAATTTCCTCGTTTCCCAGCACAGACGCGCGCCGCTCCTGGACTCATTCGCGGACCGTCGCGTTACCTCGCCGAAAACGGACAGCCTGGTGATAGTGATGAGTGTTTCCCTGCTTGTGCTTGACGTCGTGGCCGTTGCTCGGAGCTTACGTGACTGTGACCGTGACTCCAGTGCCGCCGTAATGTGCTTCATGAGCTCGGCTACCGTGGAGATGCTGTAAGTACATACAATTCCTTTTACCCATCTTGTTGCCCGCGAAATCATGGCTTTGTATGCTTGATACCTTTGCATGAATGTTTATATACCGCAGATGGTACGAAGGTTGGTCCGGAAATGAATCGAAATCGCGATTCCAAAGCGCCTGTTATCGTTCCGATTTATACAACGTTCACTGTAAACAGTCTCGAGGACGATCGTGTGCATGTTTCTCATCAAGAAATACACGGCACGGTATCGATTTGCAGGAGAATCTACGGCAAGAATTCGTCCGCGGCCGGCGGAACGGGGCCGTTGCTCCCCGTCGCTGATAACGCGAGCACAATTGCTGCCACACGGATATTTTTTCCCTCCGTGTAGCTTTTTTTTTGCCCCCATGAAGATAACGAGCGCGTTCAGCGGGGCAGTTTTTTCGACGTGGTCGCTGCGCAATAAAAGCAGCTCGTGGCTACGCTAACATGGAGGCTCTCGACTGCCGACGGAAACATTGAAAGTTCGCGACCAGAAGGGTTTCGACGTACATATTTCCCATGTCCGCCCGTCTTTACTCGAAGCCATAGATTTCTCGACCAGTCACATTAGGCTGTATACGTGTGCACGTGCGTGTATACATATACCGCTCGTTGAAAATGAAAACCTTGCTCTCGAAATTGGTAATTCGAACATTTCTCCCGGAGCACAGAGTCTCGATTTCGAAACTCGAGATCCCCGGAAGCCCGGCGTGGAAACGTTTCTAGCCTTCACGCCTGGACGATGGAAAAGTAATTAGTCATGCGTGAAATCGTTACGACTCCCCCTGAGCTGCGATCGTCGTGGACTCGATCGAATTATTACGACGATCTACGGCTGCGATAACATCAAAGAAAATGAATATTTAAGTTATTATCAGGAAATTCCATAATCGCGTGTATGTATATATGTATGCACGTTTACGTGGTTGGTTCGAAGCTGTATTTTACAGCGTTTGGCTGGAAGTCACAATTTCACTATGAGAATCTGATACGAAGATTTTGTGAGGTTATGACATGACTGCAGCTTTGGAAATCTATGAAATTGATAGCCACTTACGTAACACGGCGTGCACATTCGTGTGAGAATCCAGAGACGATTAGACGCCATTTTTCACTAGCGTCCTTAACTCATTAAGCAAATAGGGAGTAACGGTCGTTTGTGTGTAGTAGCTGTGCGTCGCGTTTAGTGACGTGTACCGTGCAACAGATTTTCGATCCGCCATGTTTTTCTTGAAAACATCCAACTTCATAAGTCGTTTCCTCGACTGAACAAACATTAGGGTGGAAAAGGTGTATGTACGATCTTAAGAAAAATAGGTTAAAAATTGATTAAGAATTTCTTAGAATACTATACTAATATCAAATAATATTTATTCTAAAAGATATTCTTGGCAATATTTTAATCCCTCAATATTTTATATGTAATTTAATATCTTTCAAGATTACCAGGGGCGATATTTTCTCACGAAAAATCGAATTTTCGCGCCATAAGTCCGGCCATCTTTGCCGCGCTCAGGTCCCTGTAGTTTATTTAAATTTATGGGATCGTGGATATTTATGGGGCCGTTGAAGACGTTCGAAAGGCGAGACGTTTCGTTCGAAATCGACGTCGTTCATAAATTCCAGCCCTCCCACCTTCCTCCCCTCCCTCTGGAACCGATATTAGAAATCGATTCTCCGTTTGTCATGTTTCGACTTGCTGTTATTTATCTTCTAACGCAACGTAATACACCAGACGGGA